TTGAGCTCATGGGCATCAAGGACAGACAGAAAGTATACTTGACTGACATTGAAGACCAATGCCTATTAGGATTGGACTATCTACTACCAAGGAAGTTTGTAATTGATTCTGATAAAATGATATTTGGGAACAACAAAGGCCAAGTTCCGGTAACTGTTAAAAGAGAGGTTGAACTAATTAGGTGTCATCAAGCTGAAGTCAAAGTGACTGAAGAAGTTGATGATGGTGAAGTGAAACCAAATATGGATATTAAAGCAGAGCAGGAGAAAGACCAAGATTTGAAGCCAATGATTGATTTCCTAAAAGCAAGTGTTTTGCGCCCTGCTTGGGAGAAGGTGTCTAGTCTAAGCCCTGTGACAAAGCACTATTGGGTGCAATGGGACCAGTTAAAGCTTGCAGATGGTATTCTTGTACGGAGATGGGAAACTACCGATGGGAAAGTGACGACCTGGCAAACGATTATACCGAGAAAGGTACGGGAAGTTGTGTTGCGTCAATCCCATGATATTGTTACGTCTCCGTTTGTTAATTGATTTTCCGTAACTTCGTTGCGACGAAACTTAAGCGACACAAGTTCTTTCTTAATAAAAACTGGTTTATTCTTTCCGAATACACCTTTACCGATACACTCAACTTCAACAATCGCGCTAAACAAACGCTATAACGACGAACGTGCTCAATAATACTTCTGACTGCAGATCAATTACTTACTATCTACGCACACATTACATTCCCGCGTCACGTTGTCCCCTCTTATATATACCCGCCTACCCCATCTAGCAAACACTAGAGCCTTCATGAAGAAACAAGATAGTTCTAGAACCGTGGCGTCACAGTGGTCATGTGACTCGCTGACGCAACACTGCCCCTCCTTAATATTGTTCGTCCCGAACAATAACCACATATGATAAACCAATAACAATAAACAATAACTTAATTAACTGTACAGAATTACAAACACAAAATTATAATTCAACAAAGTCTCTTAATTTTCCGGGACGTATCTTCTTCCGTACTGGTCTCCGTCTCGTTGGCTTCTGCTTCACGTAAGGTTCATCTACTTCATCAGGAAATGTCCTATCATCGGTAACAGTCACATCA